AATACATAAATACATAAATACATAAATAGCTAGCTAGCTTTGAGGAAAACATTTAATTTGTCCTTAAGTACACTTGCACTAATGGAAAGAAGTTTCCTATCTGCTTATGTTTCATTGCAGTTCTGCTTCAGTCAACATAAAATAAAGAGAAATTATTTGCTTCCACAAGAATTCATCACTGATGCATAATAACCATAACTAGTTCCTGGTTATTTTGTGGTGATCAGACTCAAGATCCTTGAAAAATTCCACACATTTGGTTGTTCTTCAGATTGATTTTCAGAAATATGTTGATTGCAACAATGTATACCTACTAATGTTTAGTTAAAATATTTATATTCCATATTTCATTAAGGCAGTTTTTAGTCCATCCAACTTGTAAATACAGGGCAATACTTTAAAAATCAAGTGGCAGTTTGAGGTAAATAGCTGCAGTATTAAAATACAGTTGTGCCCCGCTTAACAATCACCCCATATAATGACGAATCCGCTTCACGACGATGTTTTGTGATCGCAATTGTGATCACAAAACAATGTTTTAATGGGGTTTTTTTGCTTTGCGACGATCGGTTCCCTGCTTCAGGAACCAATTCTTCACATTACGACGATCAAAACAGCTGATCGGCAGGTTTTCAAAATGGCCGCCGGCTGCTCAAAATGGCTCCCCGCTGTGTTTTTGGATGAATTCCTTGCTTTACAGGCACCGAAAATGGCCGCCCCTATGGAGGATCTTTGCTGGATGGTGAGTTATTCAGCCCATTGGAACACATTGAACTGTTTTCAATGCATTTCAATGGCCTTTTTAATTTCACTTTATGACGTTGTCGCTCTACAGCGATTTTGCTGGAACGAATTAACGTCATCAGGCGAGGCACCACTGTAATCATCTAATCAATATTAGGGAAGTCTGCCTGAAAGGAAGACTTCACAGTCTTTCCAAAAGCTTGTGCAGATGAATTTTAATGGATCATCTTTGGTCTTTCAGTGGACAGAGCTAACTGTTGCAGGAAATAATAGCCAAGAAAACTGTTGGAAATACAGCCCTTGAAAAGTGTAAAGCCTTAAAATAAATGCTGGTGTGTAGCTTTGAAAGAGTCGTTCAAAGTCCAGCTTTAAGGTAGCAATGCATTGAAAATGTGAGGTGCTTCTCAAGGGTCACATGGCTTTAGCTAATTGCCTAAGAATGTGAATGCTACTTTGATTCATAGTCAAGGCAAGAATATAATTCATTAGTTTATATAAAGTTTAGTTAGAGCAGCTGCTATATCTGTCACTTTAGAACTGCTAAAGTGTTTGCAGCTTTCCTATTTGTTAAAATTGCTCAATACTGTATAGTGAGCATTTGAGATTTTGTTAGAAATATGGTGTGGAAAAGAGAGACTGCAGAACAAAACAGCTGTGAAAACTGAAGCAATATAGAAGGTGAAAGGGCTAAAAAAGAGAAATGCTGGCTTGTATTTGACCATCCCGTAGTCATGGTTTGTTTGTTCAATAGCAAGTAGCACCGAGCATTGTCCATGCTGACAGTGTTAAAATCAAAACCCAATTGCTAAATATATTTAAGACATACTGATTTAGATGCTTAGCATCTAATAGAGGAACTCTAATCTTTAACTGCAATACATTTAGTTTGCTATTCCAATTCTAGACATTTAAAGTAATTTAAAGTACTGTATCACTTTTAGAGAGAACCACAGAAAAGATATTACATGAAGCAAACAATTCATCTTGTGTTTTGTTTAATGCAGTTACTAAATACAAACAAGTTGTTCATAATGTTGCAGTGAAGCAGTTTTGTGTCATTGTGTGTGTGTGTGTGATTACGAGTGCAGAGAATAATAATCACTGTAGTAAATGCTCACTGTATGTTTGAATTCTGTGTTCTCCCCAACATGTTCTCTCAGTAGAAATAGAGGAAGGGGTAGAGTTTTCCACAGGTATCTTAATTTTCATAATGTCACTTTAGTTTTCCCAGTATTGGGGATGGGGAAGGGGAGCAGTAGTTTTCCACCATTAAGAAACCCCTGTGATTTAGTCACTTTCACCTCGAAAGCGAGAATGAATGTTTACTGAGACGAATCACATCTATTTGAAAGCCCTTTAGCCAACAGATTGTTTCAAAGTTGACAATGCTCATCTTCTGTTAGGTATGGTGGGCTTCAACAAATCTGCACACATAATCCCCTGCAAATAGAGTCATAAATTTCATTGTGTATGCTGGCCTGTCAAGAGTTTCTAATTAAAAGCTGAAACAAGGAGGGTACCTACTATGGGGAGAGGATGAAAAGTACTAGATGAGTTCAAGTTTTAATGCTATCTTAAATCTTTTGAGCCAAATTCCGTTTTACAAAGGTTAGTTTGGTACCTGAGTTCATACATTCAATTGTGAGTTTCAAAAACATGTTAAAAATGTGTCTTTTAATATCATCCACTCCTTCCTGATAATATTGAGCACAGATTCCTTTGATAGTATTGGTATCTGGACAATTTAGTAGGGCTACACCATATTAAAAACAAGCTAACGGTCCATTTATAGCAAAACATATGGATTATATACAAGATTATTTGTAAGGGTGATGGGAACATGAAGCCTGAATAAATTGGGGCAATCCTGTTTCTTAGAGGACTTTGCAAGAGAAAGGGATTATTCACTGTGTATGATTGGGTTTAGGGAACATAAAAACATATAGTAGATGGTGGGATTATGGTCTTTGAAATTCTGTGGCTCTAACAAAATGTTTTGGGTCATGTCTTAGAAAATTCCTTATGAAAAGGGAAGTGACTCATAGCCAGAAAAATTATCAGTAACCCCTGATATTGTCCTACACGTTACTCTCCTAATCATGGATGCTTATTCCAAGTATGGAGAATTTGATGGAATGATTATTGCACAGAGGTTTGTTTGTTTGTTTTTAATTTACCTGTTTGTCCTTTTTTGTATTTCATTTTGACTTTTTGTGGTAGCTGTTGCATATGATTTTGATAATAAAAGCAATGTGCCCACCATTTCTATGTCTTTGATCTTTTTTCCCCCTTGTAATGTTTGTGTTTTGGTTAATAAGCAGCTACTTGATTTTCATTTGGAATTTTTGTTTTCATTGTATTTCTTTTACGTTTCTTTTGCTCATGAGTTTCAGAAGATGATGCTTATGTTGACAAACTGCCCTCGTTTGAAAGGCACTGTGAAACGCCTGCAGGTACTGTACTAGCAGAGTGGTTTCAAGAAATCTGGATTAAAAATCCAAGCCATTGTCATCTGAATGCCTCTTTCACTACCACCCTCACCACCATGAGTGTCAAGTGCATACAAATATACTTGAGATCTAACAAAGGCACCCTTGCCACATTCAGTCAGTGCACTGCATGATGGTTTCCCAATGACAGTATTTTGGGAAAGTTGCCATTTGTAGACATTATTCTCTTGTATGGAAGAAATAATACAACTACTCAAGAGCTACTTTACACAACATTCATTGACCAGAATCCTATTGGTGTTAACAGAAGCTTTATGTAACTTGCCTCAGCTAATTGTGGCTAATTGACAAGGTACTGGGCACATCTTGTGCAGTTGGGCATATGACAAGGCAGACAACTGAGATGTACACTGGTACTTCATCAAGTAATCATAATTAGCCATGGCAAGTTACACAAACCTTACGGAAACACTAACATGATTCTGGCCACATTTCATATATCCCGCTCTTCTTCCAGAGATTTTAGCGATACGAAACTCATAAAATTTCCATAGCCAGGAATGTTTAGCTTCAGCAGTATGAATTCATAATGAGTTTCCAAAGCTCATTCATGTTCCCTGAATCCTTTAAAATGATGTATTTCAAAATAACTGATAATTTTTGACTAAGAGAAGAAATGTAGCTGTAGATCTTGGTTTGACTAAAAAAATTTTCAGCTACAAGTTCAATAAAGTAATGAATATAATCAATATTGCAGAAATGCTATGCAGTAGTGTAATAATTGCAATTTGGTTATATTAGGGAAAACATTTAAACAGATATTCATGCCAGTTTGGGAAGCCCCCTGAATTGAAGATCAATGAAAACAATTAAATCCATGAAAACAGAAGTACAGTACACCTGAAGTATCTTCCAGGAAGAATGCATGTGAGCTCCAGAAACATTTCCAGTTTTTCCCTTCATCAGCCATTTATTTTAATTAGATTCATGTAATATTATTAAATTCTATATTTTTCAAATGGCATCATGCACAGAGGTGGCTCCTAACATTTCAGTAGTATCTCTGACATGGGATGAGGCCATTGGCTAGGAAATTCTACCCAAAGCTCATGTACCTCAAAAACACTAACCTATGGAGCACTCCACCAATAGGATAGTCTTCCACACATCCAAATACCCAAGTCAAAATCCAGTGGCCCAAAGGTACCTCCATCCAGAATTCCATAGCTTGCTCTCTTTTTTCAGCTTTCTGTTCCCCAAAATAAAACAAGAACATTGTTTTAAAATCCCTGCCCTTCTCCTTGCACGTTAACAAGCTTGCAGCACCTCTTCTTCCCCTCTAGAGAGATTAATGACCTGCTTCTGTGACTCACACTTATGTCCTTCTCTCTCCCTCTCCTTAACCTTTCCCATCCCGCTTCAACTCCTGGCCATACAGAGAATGAGCAGCCTTCCCTCGTCTGGTTTGACAGAGGAAAGTTTTATTTGACTTTTGAAGGTAAGTAGTGCATAGCATACTGGGTTGGAACTTTAAACTCCCCTGTGCTCTTATCCTTTAACCAAAGCCCTTTGGTTTCCTTCAAATGGACGAACCCATTCTGTCTTTCTGTATGGAAATGCTATGGCTACTTAGATGACATGCTGAGTTCAATCAGAATGACGTTTAAATTTGGTTTGTATAACTGTGCCCCTTCAATTGTTATAATTGTCTCAGTGTAAATAAAAAAAGGAAATATTTAAAGTCCTATATTCATTACCAAGGAACTTGACTCTGTCAACCAGGGCTTCTTATACACACGTTGCAAGCGATTTTTTTACACTTTGTAGCAATTACAGAATATATAGGTAAGATTTTTAATTATCCTTTGAGAAACCCCTATAATAATAAGCAGTAAATACCAGATAAATATGAAAAACACCCCCCAAGTGTTACTCAGTACATCTGTTGTGCATCAGCAACTTACTGCAATGTATAAAGAGTTTATCTCACTGGGACTTTGGCATCGTCCAACTAGCTGCTTCATTTTAATTTATATGTAATATTTTCCAGCTTTGAAGTAATGAAGATTTAAAGTTTGCCTATAATAAATGTTTAATATCACATGTTTCTTTCTGTTGTAATTATCCTTTGCAGGGAGAATAGTTTGGCACAAAGCAAATTGTATGGGGGGGAGGTTGTTCTTGTTTTAGGTTGGTTTTTTGGGGCAGACAAAGGGGATACAGGATATTCTTGATTTATGTTGCTCAAGTTACAGGTGACCTTAAACAGATACTTGTGATTTGTTGGGGGGGGGGTTGTGTTGTTCAGCAACTGTTGAATCCCATTCTACATTTTGTGAAGTTGCACAAGATAATGTGGCCAGTTTGAACAGTTGGTTAGATCTGCAATTAAATGGAGAGATTTTTAACTAATGAAAGAGGGTGCTCCTGAATCTCTGTTTGCAGTTCTCCCTATAGTCTCTCGGTCTTGCTCTAGAGACAGAGCTGAAATAAAACTGATAAAAAAATATCACCTGCCAGTCACATTTACAAAATAACTGATAAATCCAATAGTTTTTCTTCATGAAGGAGCCCTTCAAGGAACAGAAGGATACCTTTCACTCCAAACTGGGGAAGAATCACCATGATATGAATATTTTTTTAAAATTCTTCTGTGCTTCCTTGTTCATGTAAGGGTACAATTACACTAGGGGAAAAAAATCAGAAAATACTAAGAACTTGGGATGGGCTAATTTGCATTTTATTCTGTCAATCACAGAATGGAAAGGGAAATGTAAATCAGCCCAGAATTCCCTCCCCTTTAATCTGTAGTTTTCCCCTCTGCTGCTGAGGCTTCTATCTTTTTTTTAAGGATCAATTTGTATGTGATCACTTGAACCAGTGCAGAAAAGCTGCTATGCCAGGACACATGCAAGAATGGCAAGCAAAGCCTGTTGACAAGATTCCCCCTGGTTTTGGGGTTTTTTTTTTTTACAGCTAAGGCTGAAGCAAAGCCGGTTTTAACAAGACACATTTTTTTACAGATTAAAAACAGCTTGCAAAACCAGCAAGAGTTTTTTAAAAAAACAAAAAAACAACAACAACAACTCCTTGGTGTTGGTGCTGTTGCACTTGTGCATATAAACACCACAAAAAGGAAGAATAAAAAGAAAACATGAAGAAGATGAGAAAACAAGAGGAGGAAATGTGAGTTACAGTTAGTTAGGCAGTTCTTTTAACCATTTCTCCTATAGGGCTTCAGTAGAGCTGTAAACAAGCAGCAAACAATGTTTTTTCTCCCTTTGTGTCCATTTATATTGAACAGACCTGAATTCCATGATTGTGCTTCACAGCACGTGAAGGCAAGTGAATTTGAATTTCCTTCGCTGTGTAGTATAAGATATGGTGGAGAGGAGGCAGAAGCACTTTAGAAATATCCTTAATGACTATGAATTTTCTAGTATATCTCATTCATCGCTTGCAACACTTTTATATGAAAAAGTAATCATGAAAGATTTATTGGACTGTGGTTTTCTTTTTAAGAAAGTGTGATTTTTGTTGTTGTTGTTAAGGTGGGGAAACTTTGATATTACAGGTATTGGGCATGCAACAATCATCAGTCCTACCCAGGATGGCATTTAGTAAAAGAATATAGACATTATCATTCCAAAATATCAGGCAAAAAAACTTCCTTGTGCCTCCTATAATTCTGATGAACAGCAACAATCTATCTTTGATGGCTTTGGCAATGGAATATTTCTCCTTCTGTCATCAGTTTGGAACACCAACCCTATAATTCTGATGAACAGCAACAATCTACCTTTGATGATGAAACACAATTCCACTTTCAAGCCAAATAGACTCTTGTCTTAGCAAGTCCTAATAAGACACTGTAATTTTTAAAGTGATAATATGGCATTTTCAGTCTATCAAGATCTCTCTCAATGATTTATGTACCTTAAATGTACTTCTTAGAGACATCACCATGGTACACCCATTGCTGCTATAGACAAGCAGCTGTGGGAATAACAGGCTAATTTATGTCCGTGTGTGCATGTGTTGTAATGGCTAACCACTCAAACCTATATGGGCAGAGGTCTGTCACATCTGTATGCATACCCTTTGCTTCCCATGTTCTCCTTGACTGCTTCACCCTCACAGCATGGTTCTGCCTTAGGAAATTTCCAAGAATGCCAAGAGCGACAAAGAGGCAAATTGCTGCTTCTGGAAAAGAGTTCCCCATCTGTCCTTATTACAGCTGAAACTTGTTTCTTCTGTGGGGCTGAGCAGTTGTGAAAGTTTCACGTCTCCCTCTAGTCTCCCTCTGCTAGTCAACTAGTCTTCAATTAGTCTTGCTCTGCTTTTCCTTTTTCCTGTTTTGGTGATCATAAAATTATTGTAGAACAGGGAAAATTGGGAGCAGTAGCAGATTATCTCAGCTCCTGCTTGAACATCCTTTTTCACTGGGAAGTAGGACAACAATCATCAGTGGGAGATGCTACCCTAGAGCTTGAGAAATGCTTTTTTGCAACTCATTGTGTTATTGCTTTAGTCGCTTTGTGATGCTAATCACTTAGAGTGAAATGTTGCCGAAATTATTACAGTTCTTTTCTTTTTAAAAAGTACACTTAAAATTCATTTAAAGAAATCAGTGATCTCTCAAGAAAACATTTTAGATGAGTAAATGGAGTACAACTGGAGTAATTCTGTTTATAGTTATTACACTATTTGCAGAACTATTGTTCTTATTTCATGTTATCAAAAATAACATGTAACAATCTTAATAATATTCTCAGAACTACGGAGTTGGAAGGGAGCCTATGTATCATCGAGTCCAGCTCCTGTTAAAGAGGCACAGTGACGAATTGAACTTCCAGATACCTAAACCACTGAACTCTTTAGGCAATGAGAGGCACAGTGAGGAATTGAACTTCCAGATACCAAAACCACTGAACTCTTTAGGCAATGTTTACTTCAAGCTCTGTACCGTGATTTCCATCAAGGAGCAAATCCTTTACAAACATCCTTTCTCAAATGTGCATAATAACACTGTGCCTTTTATTCAGCTTGCCTCTGCACCCTTTATTCACCTTGCCTCTCGGATTGTTACTGCTATTCTAATATACTTCCAGAGGTTTTCTTGTAATACACTTTAATGTCCAAATCAAAGTGAACAGTCCCAGATCACATTATGCCAATATGTTGGCATTCTGAGAGTGGAAAAAAATTCACATAACAAAACAAAGATATACTAAGAGGAGGAAAGTGAAAGATATAGTAATAATATAGTAATAATATCATATAAGGCAAACAATGAGCTGGCATTGGATGATGAAAACGGAGAAAGGGATGACCAGCTTCACACACACCCCAGTGAAGACCAAGGACCTCTCCTGCATTCCCCAGTCACTCAGAGTGCAGCAAAAAATTAACTGGAATTTTATAATATTTTGCATGCCGTATTTCCTCATACAGTCAACCCTCGACTTACGAACAGCCCTAGTTACGAACATTTTGAGTTATGAACGTCCTTCCGGAACGGATTAAGTTCATAAGTCGAGGGTTGACTGTATTTTCAGTTCAGCTGCCTAGTTAGTGTAGGATAGGTACTGCAAATAGTTTTATTTTTTTCCCCTAATAGTTTTAGCAAGTGGGTGTGGGTGTAGATGTACTGAGTGTTTGTGCAGCCTTTAAGTGATTTGTTGAGTTTTAGCACAGGAGGGTCTGTTTGTTTCACTCCTCCCCCCACCCTTACTATTTTTAAGACACTTTCCTTCTGGTGTTCTTTGAGCTGTCAAGGACTTTCCACACCACATACTTCTTGTCTTCCTCTTCTAAAACCTCTGTCACTTCCTCCTTGTTTTGCTTTCCCCCGCCCCATAGTGTTCACTAATCTTTCAGTTTGAAGAGGAGATTTGTTTAGCCCCCCAAAAAGCATCTGAGGAATTAAAAAAACAACAACACAAGGCATGAGATTATACAACCACTTTATACTGCACAGCTACCTCATATAACATGACTACCTCATTTGAAGCAGCAGCTTAATCTAGTATCATCCATCACTGAGCCCACCTTCCTTCTTCCTTTAGGAATACAATTTTACATTGGGGGGAAAAATCTGGAGTTGACAAGCACATCAGGTTATGAAAAGTAGAAATTCTAATTAGCAAGTCCCACTGGGAACCTGCTTCATTCCTTGAACATTCTTAAAGATAATCATCAGCATCATTTTAGAACTGCAAAACTGGAAGGGACTCTATGGATCATCAAGTCCAGCCCCTGTCAAGCAGGCCCAATGGGGGAATCAAACTCTCAAACCCCTGGCCCTACAGATAGCTATGTAAACCATTGAGCTATCCAGCAATTCTGAGGCAGCGATGTAGAGTATCTTACTTTTGTTGAATCTTTAGTCAAACGTATGTGTACGTGCACACTTTCAGGATCAGTTATTTTCACTGAGAATTTTTTTGTAATCCTTTTTCTTTAAAGCACTGTTGCTTCTTTATGATTTCACATTAA